TTAAACTTTTATTTTCGAAAACTTTTAGTGTTCGAAAAAGAAATGAAAACACGCGACTCAGTGGACAGATTTTTATAATAAATTCACCTTGGTATATAAAATAAATTTGGGTTTATGAGGCAAACGCATTGGCAAACTCGAGGCAACTGCATTGTATTGATGTTCTCAAACCAATGAAGTCATATTGTCTTCCTCCTGCAGTCGAAGTCGCAGATGTCATTAGCATCTCAACGAGCAAACACGGCTTACATGTGGGCGATGATTAAATACGTCGGCATCAACAATTGATTGCGTTCATAATGTTTCTTGTTTATCTCTCAGCGCTTCTAGTTTCCTAATTAGCATTGCATTTACTAATACGAAAAGTCTGAGTGATAAACTATTCGGAATGTGAATAATTATGTAAATTAAATGACTTCAATGTCATAAAATGAACGACAGCAAGTTAATCATGATTGCAATGCCTAGCTCCTTATCGAACCCGGTGGAAGTCCAGTAGCTATTGCAAACTATCGTCAGTCTTGAAAAAATCCGGTCAGATGACATGCTTTTGAATCTTCTGTGAACATGTCACGAAAAGTACAAGAATCGGCGACAGGCCACATCAGGCCTACTCTTTAGCGCCGACATCACTATATTATGTTATGTTATGTTATGCTGATGGTGCAGAGTATATACAGAAACACGAACAAAAAACAAACCCAGTAAACGGCACCCACTTAACTAACTGATCCTGATAACTGAATTAGGTTCAGTAAAATTGGTAAAGTGAACAATGAAAATTCGGTTAGTCTCGCTGGCGCTGAAGTGTCCGAGAGTAGGTTATGGAAACGTGTCCTCATGTGTTTACCAGCAGACCTAGTTAGCTATTGAGTTCACGGTGACACTGAGACCTTGCCATACAGCATATGTTTCACGAAGACACGTGATAGATCACGCGATCAAGACCTTAGTAGTGGGCGGAAGCGAGGCCTATATAAGGGCTAGCAACCTTAAGTAGGGCATCCAGCAGTAACTGATAAGCGCTCCGCGATGTAACGGTAACGTGTCGGTTGAGTTCTCCGACCTTACGGTCGACGCCGTAGCTTATACCTCTGTATCGTAATGTATAACCACCGTATACAAGATATATTATCTAGACACACGTGGCTTACTTACCTTCACGACCTTAGTCACGAAACACGATCCTCAGGTAGAGCATAATATATAAGCTCTGAAAGAAGTATGAAAGACTGACATCACGCTTTCGACGAAATTCATCCGATATAACATATATTTACGACACTAATCCATCCAGTCAGTAACGGAGTTTTTGAAAGGGTTATCGGGTTATCGAAATGGTTGCAAAGTTTTTCGTCATGCCAAAGTGGGATGACGCTCTGCGACTAGCGGCGCGGCAATAACGCACAACGATAGTTTTTATATGTTTAAGTTACAGACTTACTTACTTACAGCTACCGGGGAATCTCTCTCCTCAGCGTTGTTGGCAAGGTGTTCGCCCGGTTCGCTCTCTCTCGGTTGCAGCTCCTCGCCGCTCGCGTCTACCCCGAATCCCAATGCGGTTTCAGGGCTGGTCGATCGACGGTGGACATGATTTTCTCCCCGCGTCAGCTGCAGGAGAAGTGCAATGAGCAGCAGATGCCTCTCCACGTCGCTTTTATTGACGTAACGAAGGCTTTTGGCCTGGTTAGTCGCTGTCTCTTATACACATCTAGATGTGTATAAGAGACAGACATATCGGTGACTCGAAGCGAGAAGAAATGTTGTCGCATGGATNAGGAGATTCAGACGGAAACAGCGGGCGACGCAGCAGCGACAGCCATCTGCCTTCACCTGTGATGGCTGTGGATTGGATTGTCACTCCAGGATTGGTCTGTACAGCCACTCTCGGCGATGCAGGCGGGACCGATAGCTAACCCATCGTCTCTCGAGACGGACGGATGCCGACGACGACGACGAAGCTACTGACTACATAATCCAACGCACTATGATTTGAATAACAGACCTTGATGACATTGATGATCTTGCTGGCAGACTTGAAGATCAATATTCCAATAAAATTAATATTGAATTATTTTAATTTTTTATTAATATTCCAAAGAATATTTGCTAGTTGAGATGCTAATGAGATCTGCGACCTTGGCTGCCGAAGGATGACAATCGAACTTCATTTGTCCAAGAATTTCTATGCCATGCATTTCTCCCGAGTTATCAACTAACAAACACGCGTGGTCATTATGGCAGTTGACTAATGATTCTCCTCACGCATCAACTAATGTGAGCTTTAGTTCATTTGAACGTGTTAGTCACTGGGATTATTATTCTTGATGTGTTTGACTACTGCCCATCCCGGCAGTGTAAACTAGAGTAACGAGTAGGCGGGCATCGATTAGCCTGAAATGCAAATGCGTGAGAAACAAATTAAACTTTTATTTTCGTAAACTTTTAGTGTTCGAATAAGAAATGAAAACACGCGACTCAGTGGACAAATTTTTATAATGAATTCATCTTGGTCTATGGAATTTGGGTTTCTGAGGCAAACGCATTGGGAAACTCGAGGCAAGTGCATTACATTGATATTCTCAAACCAATGAAGTCATATTGTCTTCCTCCGGCAGTCGAGGTCGCTGGAGGAAGGCCAACCGACGCCCACCCACTAGTTACTCAAGTTGCCACTGCCAGGATGGGCAATAGTCATACACATCAAAAACAGTAAGCTAAGTGACTAACACGTTCAAATGAACTAAAGCTCACATTCGTTTATGCGTGAGGAGAAACATTAGTCAACTGCTTTAATGACCAAGCGTGTTTGTTAGTTGATAACTCTGGGCAAATGCATTGCAGTGAAATTCTAAAGTGTCCGAGAGTAGGTTGTGGAAACGAGTCCTCATGTGTTTACCAGCAGACCTAGTTAGCTATTGAGTTCACGGTGACACCGAGAAGTTGCCATACTGCATATGTTTCACGAAGACACGAAGACACGTGATAGATCACGCGATCAAGACCTTAGTAGTGGGCGGAAGTGGACCCTATATAAGGGCTAGCAACCTTAAGTATAAGGTCCCCCCAGTAGCTGATAAGCACTCCGCGATGTAGCGTGTAGCTTGAGTTCTCCGACCTTACGGTCGATGCCGTAGCTTACGCCTCTGTATCGCAACTCTGTATTACCACCCCGTATACAAGATATGTTATGTGGACTTATGTGTCTTACTTATCCCTCACTACCTTAGTCAACGTAACCCGATCCTCAGGTAGAGCTCAATATATAAGCTCTGACAGAAGTATGAAAGACTGACATCACGCTTTCAAAGAAATTCATCCGATAAAAACATACATTTACGACACTAATCCATCCAGTCAGTAACAGAGTTGTTGAAAGGGTTATCGAACTATCAAAAATGGTTGCAAAGTTTTTCGTCATGCCGAAGAGAGATGACGCTCTGCTACTCGCGGCAATAACGTACAACGATTGTTTTTATATGTTTAAGTAACAGACTACATATTCCAAAGCACTATTTTTTGAATAATAGACCTTGATGACATTGATGATCTTGCTGGCAGACTTGAAGGTCAATATTCCAATAGAATTAATATTGAATTATTTTAGTTGCTTATTTATATTCCAAACTCTAAAGAATATTTGAACGTCAAGACTAACGACTTCTGCGACCTCGACTGCCGGAGATAGACAATCGAACTTTATTGGTCCGAGAATTTCACTGCAAAGCATTTGCCCCGAGTTATCAACTAACAAACACTCTTGGACATTAAAGCAGTTGACTAATGTTTCTCCCCACGCATCAACTAATGTGAGCTTTAGTTCAGCTGAACGTTTTAGTCACTGGGCTTATTATTTTTGAAGTGTGTGACTACTGCCCATCACGGCAGTGGAAAATAGAGTAACGAGTAGGTGGGCGTCGGTTAGCCTGAAAAGCAAATGCATGAGAAAAAAAAAGTTTTATTTTCGAAAACTTTTAGTGTTTGAATAAGAAATGAAAACACGCGACTCAGTGGACAAGTTTTTATAATGAATTCATCTTGATCTATAGAATTTTGGTTTCTGAGGCAAACGCATTGGCAAACTCGAGGCAAATGCATTGCATTGATATTCTCAAACCAATGAAGTCATATTGTCTTCCTCCTGCAGTCGAGTTCGCAGATGTCATTAGCATCTCAACGAGCAAACACGGCTTGCATGTGGGCGGTGATTTATTGCGTCGGCATCAAAAATTGATTGCGTTCATAATATTTCTTGATTATACATCAGCACTCTTAGTCTCTAAATTAATATTGCTTTTATTAATACGAAAAGCCTGAGTGATAAACTATTGGAAATGTGAATAATTATGTAAATTAAATGACTTCAATATTATAAAATGAAGGACAGCAAGTTAATCATGACCTATAATTTCTACCAATAATATATTCAAGTTATGAACCTTCATGACAGCAACTAGGAAAAATGATGTAGCTCCATAAGGTTCTCTGACGCGGCGCGGTATGCCCAGCTACTCAATTTCTACTCAATTATTTTATATAGTAAAGGGTAATATTTAACAAGAATGTAGGGTAGTAATGACAATATACACCATTACTCCCAATATGGATGTTCCACCGAATATTCAGGGGTCACCGATTGTTCACACTGCTGTCGATCATGAGTCATCATCATTCTTAACGCCTCGGCGCTACATTGAAACTCACACGTTCTATCTTCATAATAGCTTATTGAACAGAAGTAAGGGGTTAAATTAGTCTGTAAGTGAATATATGAAAGTTATTGTTATACGTTATTGTCGTGAATCAAAGGTTGGTGTGGGCGACACTCCAGGTGTGTGTCGGGAAAACTTTACAAAATATTTGTTAGATCGATTACCCCTTTCAACGAAACCGTTACTGGCGGGACGAATTACTGTCGTGAATATGTGTCATTAAGTACCTTTCAACGTTTGAGAGGGTAAGAAAACTCAACCTCTTGCATGGTATGAACTATATGTATATATAGATTGATATATAGATCAAGATATAGATTATAATCATCAATATAGATGATTTTTCTCAAAACATTCCCTTACATTATGAGCTATTATGAGCTAGTGAATAATATGGTCAAACATTATCTAGATATCTATCCAGATATTGATGTTGGTTTCAGTCCTGTTCCGGGTGAGTTCAGACCGCCGTGTTCGGGTTGAGTACTGTTTGTGGTGTTCCGTATGAATTCGGTTCGCCGTAATCAGGGTGAGTTCAATTTGCCGTGTTCCGTATAAGTTAAATCCGCAGTGTTCCGGGTGAGTTTATTCTCTTTCGTTTGCCTCAAAGCACTAATTTTTTAACTTGGCAAATGATGAATCGAGGAAACTGAAAAAAAGGACATACACATCAGCATCAAACATTCGTAGATACAACAAATTGCACTTCCACAAGGCATGGATTTGAGTAAGAGTCACGCCATACATAACATCAATGTTCTGATATCCTCGATAAGCAATATATGTTAAAAACTATTTGAAGTTAGTCTAAATGATGTCAAAAGAAATCATAAACAAAATAACCGTTCCTTACGTTCAAGTATTTCATGGTAGAGTCCCTGCAAGGCTTGTACGCGGTTGAGAACTTGGCGTCCGAGCTGCACTTGTTCTGCAACGTGGTTTTCTGGAAGGCCGCGTCGTCGAAAGAGCCGTCGGCTTTAAGCTGTTGAAGATAGGATAGGATACGATGAGGTAATGGAGAAAAGGAAACCAAGGAAAAGAAGAGACATTTTTCTCATATGAAGGAATAAGTGGAGGAATATATTATATGAACAGAAAAAATTTAAATTATGGATAAATCAAGACTGTTACGTCACATGCAATCAAGTGTTGATATTACTGTGAGGAGCTGATGAAACAACAGTTGAATCACAAGCATTTATCATTTATCAATAAACAAAGACTAACTGCCCTCAAAATATCGAAGATTTGTTCAGAATGAATTGTTTTTGAGACATCTAACTGATTCCCTTTGAGATAACTCGAGTCGTCTGCTCTTTGCAAATGACTTACATGCATGTTCCTTTGTAGCGGTGGATAGAGAATAATCTTACACCAGCGCTAATTTTTTGAGAAAAGTATGCATATTTAGTCCGTATTAATGAATTTGAATACGATTTTTCCTTTCGATGCACTTCCATTCCCAGGACTAAGACCGTTGTGCTCATTTTAGCCACAAAGGGACTGGACAAACAGGGTGTGAAAAAAATTAACTCCCAACGCATTTTATTGCAAGTAAATAACCGTGAAATAAATAATGAAATCAAATTTTTAAACACAACTCTTAATCAGCTCGCAGAGATACTCACAAGTCCTACAGCTTTTAAGGCGCATTTATTGTAATCCATCACAATCGGATCACAGACTTCGACACTGTGCGGTTGTGAGCCATAGTCCCAGGAGCAGTTTTGGTCTGTTGAGGGAGGGTTAAATAAAGTAACAGTACGAAGTTATTCTTCTTCATTTCATAATCTAAAAATAATGCAGCAGAAAGGAAAGATGGTATGTAGCATTCAACAAAATTACTGTCCACAAAATTTTATGATGCAAATGGTGGCTGTCAACGACAAAAAGTGTGTCAGAAGCGTTGCGTTGGATGGTATCGTGCGAGTCGTCATCTACGGGACCAAGCTAAGGTGTGAGCGGGACAATCTACCTCAGGATGAAAAGATTAGGAAACATGTTCAATTGCAGCGTTGAGCGTAGCATAGCATAGCATAGTGAAGTCGGCGCTGAAGAATAGGTCCGCTGATGTGGCCTGTCGCTGATTCTTGTACGAGATTTTAAAACAGGTCATTCGACCGGATCTTTTCCAAGCTGTCGATAGTTTGAAATATCTCCGAGATTTCCACCGGGTGAAACGTGAAAACGTTCCTGTGCGTGAAAGACGTAATGAAAAACGTAATAATCTGTTGCCTATCTATTTTCTTACTTGCATAGTATGAATTAATAGCCGTCTGATATTTTGTTGGGCAAGTCGTAGCTGCGTTTGCGTTGTTCAGCATGTTGATCGCAGATTGTAAGGCCAAGAAACAAGTGGAGGGAACACTGTAACAAAAACATCATTTAAATATTTTTATTTTAGTCTGTTTAGTGGTAACATAAAATTTTTTGGAAGCATATCAATTGAAAATTAATTTTGTCCTGCTTCTCTATGAAATAAGTTCAAAACATGGGACTAAACACTTCAGACAAATTTTGGTTTGCACTTTGAGCGATAGTAAGGTAGCACCTCGCACCATGAACGTTCAAACAAACAAATTTCTCTCAACGTCTCCTTCTCCCTCCGCTCCAGAAACCAAGATTTCCAATACCACTTATTCTATAAATGAAATAAAAAATGGAATTAATGGCGGTAACCTCGAATATTATGTATTAATTGACGGTGAGGAATAGTGAATTTCTCGCACCTTAGCGATCTGTGCCACATCCGGAGAATCGCACTTGATGATATATCGATAGTTTCATCATTGACGATACAAAATAAGTAATAAGAAAAGAATGAAGGAATATGAAGCGCAAACAGAAATTATTAAGCCCAGTGCCTCACACGTTCATATGAACTAAAACTCATTTGTTGAAGCGTGAGGAGAATCATTAATAAAATTAATATTTAATTCTCGGACCAACGATGTTCGTTTGTCTTTCTTTTGCTGTCAGTCATAAATGTCATAAACATTTCAACGAGCAAATACTCTCAGGAATATTAAATGAGCACAGTGACTAAAACGTTCAACTGAACTAAAGCTCACATTTTTTGATGCGTGAGGAGAATCATTAGTCAACTGCTTTATTGTCCATGAGTGTTTGTTAGTTCATAACTCAGGGCAAATGCATTGCATTTAAATTCTTGGACCAATGAAGTTCGATTGTTTTCCTCCTGCAGTCGAGGTCGCAGATGTCACTAGCATCTCGACAAGCAAGCACGGCTTACATGTGGGCGATGATTAAATACGTCGGCATCAACAATTGATTGCGTTCATAACATTTCTTGATTATACATCAGCACTCTTAGTCTCTAAATTAATATTGCTTTTATTAATAAGAAAAGCCTGAGTGATAAACTATTCGGAATGTGAATATTTATGTAAATCGAATGACTTCAATGTTATTAAATGAAAGACCGCAAGTTAATCATGACCCATGAATTCTATTAATAATATATTCAAATTATGAACCTTCATGACAGTAACTAAGAAAAATGATGTAGCGTCATAAGATCCTCTCTGGTGCGGCGCGGTACGCCCAGCTACTCAATTCCTACTCAATTATTTTATATAGTAAAGGGTTATATATACCCAATAATTTAAGTTAGTAATGGCAATATACACCATTATCTCCAACATGGATGTTCCACGGAATATTCAGGGGTCACCGATCATTCACACTGCTGTCGATCATGAGTCATCACCATTCTTGAAGCATAGGCGCTATATTGAAACTCATACGTTCTATCATCATAATAGCTTATTGAACAGAAGTAAGGGGTTAAATTAGTCTGTAAGTGGATATATGAAAGTTCTTGTTATACGTTATTGTCATGAATCCAAGGTTGGTGTGGGGGACATTTCATTGGTGTGTCGGGAAAACTTTCCAAAATATTTGATAGATCGATTACCCCTTTCAACGAAACCGTTACAGGTCGGACGAATTAGTGTCGTGAATATGTTATATTAAGTAACTTTCAACGTTTGAGAGGGTACGAAAACTCAACTTCTTGCATGGTATGAATATATGTATATATAGATTGATATATAGATCAAGATATAGATTATAATCATCAATATAGATGATTTTCCTCAAAACACTTCCTTACATTATGAGCTCGTGAATAATATGGTCAAACATTACATAGATATCTATCCAGATACTGATGTTGGGTCCAAACGTGTTCCGGGTGAGTTCAGTTCGCCGTGTCCAGGGTTATTTCTGTTTGTAGTGCTGCGTATGAATTCAGTCAGACGTGTTCGGGTTGAGTACTGTTTGTGGTGTTCCGTATGAATTCGGTTCGCCGTAATCAGGGTGAGTTCAATTTGCCGTGGTCCGTATAAGTTTAATCCGCAGTGTTCCGGGTGATTTCATTCTCTTTCAGTTGCCTCAAAGTTCTAATTTTTTAACTAGGCAAATGATGAATCGAGGTAACTGAAAAACAGGACATACACATCAGCATCAAACATTCGCAGATACAACAAATTGTACTCCCGCAAGGCATGGATTTGAGTAAGAGTCACGCCATACATTACATCAATGTTCTGATATCCTCGATAAGCAATATATGTTAAAAACGATTTGAAGTTGGTCTAAATAATGTCAAAAGAAATCATAAACAAAATAACCGTTCCTTACGTTCAAGTATTTCATGGTAGAGTCCCTGCAAGACTGGTAAGCGGTTGAGAACTTGGCGTCCGAGCTGCACTTGTTCTGCAATGCTGTTTTCTTGAAGGCCGCGTCGTCGAAAGAGCCGTCGGCTTTAAGCTGTTGAAGATAGGATAGGAAGCGATGAGTTAATGGAGAAGTGGAAGCCAAGGAAAAGAAGACACTCTTTCCTCATTAGAAGATTCGTATGGGAGAATTTATTAATGTTGAAATCATTGCAAGGTGCTGATGAAAAAACGGTTGAATCACAAGCTTGTATAAGAATAAAATGAACAAATGACTAATTCCCTTGAAAACATCGAAGATTCGCTTTAGATGGATTTCTATGGAGTCACTTAACTGATTCCCTTCAAGATAACTCGAGTCGTCTGCTTTTTTCATATTAATTACAATCATGTGTCTTTGAGCGAAGAATACAGAATAATCCAGCACGTATTTTGGAGAAAATTATTGCATATTTAGTTCGTATCAATACATTTTAATCCGATTTTCCTTTCGATGCACATCCATTCCCTCTCCAATGACCGTTGTGCTCATTTTAGCCACAAAGGGACTGGACAAACAGGGTGCAAAAAATATTAACGTCATAACGCATTTTGTTGCAAGCAAACAACCGTGAAATAAATAATAAAACCAAATTTCAAAATACTGAACTAATATTCAGCTCGCAGAGATACTTACAAGTCCTGAAGTTTTTAAGACGCATTTATAGTAATCGAACACAATCGGATCACAGACTTCGACATTGTACCCTGGTGAGCCCATAGATTTGGCGCAGTCTGCCGGAAGA